CCTTGCTGAATATTAGTAATAATTACTTTCTAAAAAAAAAAACCTGAAAGGAAAAATTGTATACCTAGAAGGAATATACAGTACAGCAAGCATATTGTACAGGAAAGAATCTTTCAACATAGTAAACATAAGACATTCCTGATATATCACATCAGAAAGAAAGATGTATCTTCTTTTCAAACTCTGAATACTGGTGTGTTTTAAGAAATGATGCAAGGGACTTGTGGGGAAACAGTACGTCACTGTCGACAGAAACTATAATGTTTTAGTATGTGAGTGTTTAAGGAGGAAGGAGTTACACCTGCTGTCTGGGGAACAGAAGTTAACCAAGAGAACAGCCCTCTAGTCACTGCTAATACACTGTGTACCATAACAAGAACCTTACATAAACGCCCATCAATTTTTTATGACACTGGAACACAGAGGAACAATACCCCAGCAAAAAGACCATGTGTAAAAACAGCACATGCTTTAGTGTCCGTCTTCTTGTGAAAGAATGAATAATGTTCAAGTGATATACAGTACATCAAATGAAAACCACAAAGTGTGAAACGAAGCAGGCCTCAATATCCAGCGCAAGTCAACATTCAACATCTGAAAGCAGCCACTGAAAGACAGTAACAGTGGATGTACTGTAGTGAGACGCAGTGGTACTAGCCGCGAGTCTACAATGTGATAGCCAGATGAATGCATGTGGGTGCCTTAATGCAGACCGTCTCGCAGCTCTTCAGGTTTCAGCAGAAGTGTGTCTCCTAGCTGTAATGTCCACATTTGTTGTTACACAACAGCACAGATGCAGAGACCCATTAAAACAGCAGCAGCACCTGTCATGTGACACAGAGGGCTGGAATGCATCGAACGTGTGACAGCATTTAGAAATTTGACCTGGGGTAAGTTCACTAAATAAATGTAAATTAGGCTCACTACTGACTAACAAAAGCAGCAAAATTTAAATCCTTAAAATACAGATAAGCTGAAAATAATTTTTTTGTTATGGCAGATAACCGTTAAACGGGCAATATTAAAATTCAAACTACTGTTCAGTTTGGTATCGGTACAAATTTTTAATGTTTTGAAAGAAGTCTTTAAAGGGGGGGTACAATGCTGTTTCATGCATTCAGAGTTGTTTACACTGTATTTCTGTGCCAAAAATCTTACTTCCGGGTTCGTACAAGATTTTGGAGATATGAAGGATGCAGTACTACTCTATAGGTACTCAATATTAACATGAGATTGGGTGAAACTGTGTGTGTTATTCCCCCTTTAATGCTCACCATGGTTGCATTTATTTGATGAAAAATAGCAATATTGTGAAATATTATTACAATTTAAAATAATGTTTTTTATTTTAATAATGTAAAAAAATAATGTATTTCTGTGATGTCACGTCTTGTTATATCTTTCAGAAAATATTATAAATGTCTTTACTGTCACTTGTGATCAATTTAATGCATCCTTGCTAAATAAACAGGCTAGATTTATTTTTAAAAAATCTTTTGAATTAAAAAAAATAAGCATTAAGCATTTGACATGCTTATCACAAATTTAATGTATACAGTATGGAGTTGATATTAATTTTGAGATAAGATTACATTTATCAATGTTTTTCTGCTTTTAAAGATTACCTTTGATTTAGTCATTGATGTCGAGATAACGAGAAAATTAAGTCGTTATAACGAGAAAACAAGAAGGAAAAAATATATATTGCATGGCCGCTTAGAACTTCCGTAATTGTCAGATCATGGCAAGGATAATTAAATATCCAATATTGACCAATACATATATCAATATTATAGATTCATTTCTAAATTCACAAAAACACAATATCATAAAAATATTTGTGTATTATCTATCTACCAATCTGAACAATAGCAACTGATCAAATCATGATGATGTGATGGTAAATGGCATAAACCAGATACAATTTCACTTTAGTGAATCAAGTGCTAAAACAAGCCAGCAAAAAAGTAAATAAATAAACAAAGCTATTATTGGGTGCAATTCATTCTTAGCAAATTCCCCCCTGCTGAAAATGAGTTATGTGGCATTACAGCCATCTATGTGAGTACAGGAAGTGTCTAACAGCTGCCCTTCAGAACTAATCAACAGTCTTTGTCTCCTCAAATAACACTAAAATTAATCAGCTGAATTAAATGGCATGAATCAATGATTTCCTGCCCTCGAGTCAATCTTTCATACCAACTAGACTGTAAAAAATGATTTTTTGAAGTAAAATAAAGATTATTGGAGTATGTTTTACAAGAAAATACGATCTACTTCAAAGTTTCACTTTAATGCAATGTGTTAATTGCCATTTATTTGTAACAATTTGTGAAATTTCTGAGAGAAAATGTTTTTTTACACCATTTTTTTTTTTACTGTTCACACTTCTTCTCGGTTTGCTCCCTGTCCAATTTTTTGCCCCACTGGAACATTGAAATTGGGCATAAAGAATCTGCTGACCTCCAAAAACCAGTGATCGGCACCACTGCTTGCAAAACAAGTAGCTTTTCCACATGGTTGTTTCTGAACAGGGACCACTCAGAGTCTTTTTGAGAGGTCTGGAGTCAAGTCCTATGACTCAACCCAGCTGCCAAACTAAAGTAAAGAGAGAAAGACAAAAAGGAAAAACATTTCATGATCTGGGACAAAGCCTAGGCCTGCTGTTTATTTCATTAGACTCCATTAAGAGTTCATGAGGCCAGAGAGATGGGCTAACATAGCATCACCAGGCTTCATTTATAAAATGACTCTGTATTTCATTCTGAGGTCACCTGAGGGGACCATCTACATGCAGATCTGTATTCTGAGCCTGCATAATGAGATCCTCATTCTTACAGAGGCTAAATCTTTGTTTCTTCGGGATGGACATGGCTGTGGCTTTAAGATCTGGGTTGGAAACCGAAGCCACCATGAATTATGCCCTTGTTCAGAGTTGTCCTTGTGGTGTACGTTACTTGGATAAAACCATCTGCCAAATGAGTAATTGTAAATGGGATTGTCATCAAAAGGAAAATACATAAACATCTCAAAGAGATACTAAGGCAGCTACATCACATTGAGTTATACAGCGTTTGTCTAGGTTCTGTAAACAGGTGCATGTTCATGAGGCCATGTAAACACCAATCACCTGCAAAGCAAATCTGTTCACTTGTTATCTACACCCGGAGCAATTTTTGATGATGGCTTTTAGATGTCACAATCTTCAGGACTAAGCAAATGTCAAAACACAGCCAAAGACAATTTACTGAGCGAAATGAGAAAAAGGATCAATACGGATAATTTCCTTCCATCAAAGTCAATGAAGCAAACTTATAAAACTACAAGCTGCCCTTTAAAGTGTTATATACATTACCAGTCAAACTATTTACAATTATTTTGAAATATTATATACTGTATATTATTTTTATATTTTATATAAATATCAAGTCAACAAAATTATATAATATTACACAAATAAAAATGATGTTGTGAACAAAAAAATTATTAATGAACTAAATTTATGTATATATCATTTATTTTTGTATAGATTCACACACACACACACACACACACACTACTGTACAAAAAGTCTTAGGCCACTAGTATGTTCACCAACAAAAAAATGGTTTTAAGTCAGTTATTTCTTTATCGTTTGCAGTGTCAGTAGGAAGTATTAGTTTACACTACCAAACATTCCTTTTGCCATTAATTGTAATAATCCAGTGACATTTTTATATGTAAGGAGCCTGACAACACACACACACACACACACACACACACAGACACACACACAGACACACACACATAGATATGCACACACATTCACACAGTAACAAATGTAATAATTATTTAAACAAACATATTAATAATAAGTGCATTATTTAATTAAAAAATAGAAAAATGTAAATGAATCACTTTACAACATTTAAATAGGATTTTAACATTTTTGTCAATATGAAAAGAGATTAAATTATTTTACTGTTAGGCTACATCTAATCTACTTTACATATAATTTCACTGATACATAAATAAAAAATTAAATATACCTATTTGTCAATTTGAAAAGTTATTTATTCAGTCACATTTTTTATTCATGACTTAATAAATTGATAACGGTTTCTATCCAGGAACTGGTCTTAAGTGTAACAGTATACAGTTTTTTTTTAAGGAATTCATATGTAGGTACAATTTATATTGTCCTCAACCATTTTCAAGCATTTAAGCATAAGCTTTTACATCAACAGACCAAGAAAAACTAATTCAGTGAAATGTGTCCAAACTTTTGACAGGTAATACATCTATTTAAGGACAGTTCTGGTGGGACAGGTTAAATGTGTCTTCTTCAGCACTCCTGTGATCAGATCAGCCACACAGACACAGATAACACTTGTCCTTGACAACACAGAACTGAAATATGGCAGCCTTGCACCTGTTGAGCAGACAGGATCCCTTAACAGGCAGAGGAATCTCACTGGAGTCTGTGGGTATTCAGTCAGACAAATTCTCTGGTTTGAATTCCTCCCTACTGAATCAACAGATCACTTAAAGCGGGCTTAATTGAATCCTCAAGGCTGGATTGATAGGGTAAACAGCCCGTAATTACGTTAACCTCCCTAGCTGCTTCTCAGATGCAAAGTTTCTGCCTGGATGTGTGTCTGCTTCAGTCAACCGCAGTGTCTAATTCAATCCAAACTCAATTACCCTCTCCGCTATAATGGCCTTTAATAACACGGTTTACTTGCAGGAGAGCAGTTCACCAGAGCCGCTGTAATGCAGTGCACTCTGAGAGAGCAGTCCTGTCATTCAAATATATACCAGTGATGAAATCAAGTCTGCTTGTAGCGATAACACTCTGCTTTTACAATGCATTAGCATTCAAACACGCTGATATCATATCTCTCTACTAAGACCGTAACCACAGTTGCTGATATCCCGACAGATCATTTATAATCACTCTTAACAGCACAGAGTAAGAAAAGTGAATGTGAAATGTTTTGGTAAACAGCGTTTGCTCTTACCCGCCGTAAGCTCCAAAAGTGAAACTCCTCTTTCTCTGCGGCATCTTGGCTGATGCATACAGCTGTGAAAAACAGAGACAGAACTCTACAGAGACACCAGCACTGCCTCTGTCTCCCTGGACTGACTGAGCATGTGTGTGTGTGTGTGTGTGTGATTTCACTTTTTTTTTTTTACACATGCAGCACGCTGTCCTTCCTTTCCACTCCCCTGGCTCCCTCTCTCTCACGCCTCCTTGGCAAATAAGGGTCTGAGACGCTGGCTCTGTCCACTTTCAGTCGCCCCGGTAACCGCTCCCCACTTCTCATTCATATCAGCGCTATTGTAAACAGGCAGAAATGGAGCAGTACCTAATGTCTTCATAATGTCCTTTAAAATGCACTCATTACATCTGAATGAGATTTCAGGTAGAGGTCTGCTAAATAACAAACCCGAGATTGACTGGATGAAAAAAAAAAGATACAATCTTGATATAGACCGATAGCAAGTCAAATATAAAAAAGGACAAACTGCAATAAAAAAGAAAAGAGAAAAATTAAAGGGGTCATATGATGCGATTTCAAGTTTTCCTTTCTCTTTGGAGTGTTACAAGCTGATTGTGCATAGATAAGATCCCTGAAGTTGCAAAGACTAAAGTTTCAAAACCAAAGAGATATTCTTTATCAAAGTTAAGACTCTGCCACGCCCCCCTAAAACGGCTCGTTCTAACACACCCCACATATCTACCTCACTATGTGAAAATATTTGCATAATGCGCCCAAATGTGCAAGCAAAGAAAGAAGGCGTGGTTTCAGTAACCGCAGTTAGTGTTGAAGCAGCCATGTCAGGGAGACGCTGTGTGTTTCTAGGCGAAAGCAAAAGCACTTTATTTGGCCTACCAGAAGTAGATGCATTTAGGAATCTTTAAGATTACTTACAACAGAACAGCAATGCATTTTATGGACGACCGTTTCGTGAACCTAGGAGAGGAGGTAATTCTGACTTTACTATGACAATCTGGCGCTTCTGAATCAGCTACTGTTTTGTTATTAGTTTAAGTATATGCTATTGACTGTTGAAACGCAGAGTTTTGCGCATCGTGTGTGTGCGAACGCGCGCACGTGTGTGTGTGAGAGAGAGAGAGAAAGAGACAGGGTCACATCACAGTGGAGTCAGCTGTCCGTGGCTTGTGTACTGCAAACACATACCAGCTTCATCACTGTGTCTGTCACGCGACTCTGTTCCCCTTTCGGGCTCTGTCTTAACATTTATTTTGAAAGATGAAGCTCGCGATTATGGTAAGGGGCGTTACATTTCCGAGGTGTGCTTGTGGTGTTCGGCCAATCACAATGCACTGGTTCAGCTGGCCAATCAGAGCAGACTGTGCTTGTCGGAAGGAGGGACTTTGTAGAAAATAAAGCGTTTGAGAGAGGCGGGGCATAGAGGACCTACACTAATGTACAGTATTTGAAAAATAATGTGTTTTTTGAACATTAAAGCATGTCAACATATTCTGTTACACCAAATACACAAAATAATGATCTTTAAAAAAAGCATCATATGACCCCTTTAAAAGCTGATTTTTTCCCCCACCTATCCAGCCCATAACAGCAACATTGCATTAAACCAATGGCATGAGTTTAACTATTGGTTTCATGGATCATGTATACACTATTCAAACTTTAAATGTTGGATTCATTTGATTTATCAATTTATTATTTATTGTTACATTTAAATATAAGTGTCAGTTAACATCTATATGTCAATTTGAAAAGTGATTCATCTACATTTTTATTTTTATATTTTTATTTATTTATTATTATTTATATTTGTACAATGTGTGTGTGTATATATATATATATATATATATATATATATACACACACACACAAAACCAACCAAAATTTATTCAGACACCTTCAACATCACACATTATCACAGTTTATTCGCTACAGTTTAGAAAATGGTAATAAAATATGACAAGAACTCACTCAGAGTTAAACTGTGTCGGAACAAATTCATCTTGATAATGTCAGATAACACTTAAGTAAAACATGATCAGGTCAAAGTGTCTGAATAATTATTGGTCCCAAATTTTTATCAATTTTACTGGTAGTCCACTGTATGAAGAATTTTTGGGTATAATATGTCACAGTTTACTTTATTTTGCCATCCTCATGGACTATAGTGTCCTGCACCCACTAGTAAAAAAATATCAAAAATTATACCTGGTGTCTGAATAATTGTTGGTTTGACTGTATCTGTACACACACACACACACTATGGAGAAATAAAAGTGCCAACTGAAAAAAAAAACAATTGTAAATAAATCACTTTTCAAACTGACTTTGATTGATGCTTAAAAATGTAATTAAATTAACTGAAAAGTGATTTATTATTTTACTGTTACGTGGAACTACATTTTAAACATGAATTGAGCAAACCATTCAAAATGGCTATTTATCAGTTTAACAAAAAGCTATTTTAATATATCAAATTTTTGGAATACATGGAAACATGTTAAAAAATTAAAAAAAACAGCCCAGAACAGCAACGCTGGCATGAGTTTGGGGCAGGACTATCAGTTTGATTGACCAATTGCAGACATGGGGTGTGTTTTGGAAACCTGCTACAAAACAATCAATTAGGTCAATATTAAAATTCTGGCTAATACAGAAAAGCCAATAATAATTTTGTAGATGATTATTATTTTTTGTTATGGGCAATAACCACTCAATGGCCAATATTGAAAATAAATAAAGAAATAGTAAATGTTAAAATTAACAAAAAAAAAACAATTATCAAAAAAATTTAAAATATTAATCTCTAAAAGCCTGTTACAATAAATACAATAAATCTCTAATATCAAATGGTAGATGATATGTTACCAATATATCATGTATCCTTAAAATCATTATTGGTGATGCTAGAGGTGGCGGAAAAAACACTAGGGATCGTGTCGTTCATAATAACAGCTGCTCAAACAAAAGCGTTGTGCCAACTGTTGACACAGACTTGCGTTCTTTTTCAAAGTCACTTAACTATTTACCTAACTGCACATACCTACTTCCTCTGTTGTGAGCATGTATAATAAATGAGCCTTGGACACAGTCAAAGGAGAAGTGTATCTATAGGTCAGTCATTTAGAGACTTTGCACAGAAGGTCTTGTGGGACAATAAAGTCTGAGTCTGGCTGTAATGGCTCTCTGATTTCTGAGCAAAACACAGTTGCTCTGCACCATGGTTGAGATTCAGGATTTATCTGGTTTTAAGCAGTTTAGAGTCTTCTTCTACTCTCGCTGGTACATGTTTTTGTCCTTTATCAGGAGTGGATGGCAAACGGACTTCCAAAATAACGCAAAAGCTGAGATCTCCTCAGAGTCCTTATCGACCCTGATGTGCTGCTCTGAAACCCAGATGATCTGACACATCTAGCCAGCGGCTGAAACCACACTGACAAGAGAGTGTAAAACTGCTGAATCATGGGTGAAATCCAGGTTTATGACAGCAAGCTCGATAAAATGACTACTTGGCACTTTTCCACTGACTCAAAGATCTGTAAGATGAAACTCATGCACACAAAGACATCCAGTAAATGGCCTGTTTCACACATAAACAGCACATATTTATGCCTATGTGGCATCCATACAGGTACAATAGGTTTACATTGTGTGCATAAACACTAAAGTGCTAGATAGCAGAATTGTAGCACATATCGTGTGTTTTATTTGTTTGTTTCTTTGTTTATTATTTTGGTTGCATATAGTGTGCTGAAATCATCAGAAAAACGTACTATAAACCTTTAAAAACTTTTTTTTTGCAGAATTTAATTTAAAAGCTATATAAAATACAGCAAACTACTCACCCACTGTTTAAAAAAAAGACGTATGTTGAGCTTGCAACAATAAATTAACATTTCATTTAAAAATTATATATATATTTAAAAAATATATTATGATAAACTTTATATTATACATAACTAGCTGCGCGCGTGCGAGGCCGCACACATCTTACATCGCGACCGCACAGAAGAAATAATATGTCACGCACAGGACAAACAAAAAAATGAGTTGGGAAAGCCATTTGACTGAATTCCAGTAAATGCTAAATAATTGCAATGCTTGGGCAAACCGCTATAGAGCTGATTTCGCTATAGAGCTGATGAATGCTGTTCACAGGTTTCATAGAAAGAGAATGATGTGCGCCGAATCAGACCCTGTAGAAATGTAATGGTTGCAGACGAAATAACAAAAAACAAGAGAGCTAAAGCAAACGTAATGACATGTGAAACGTCATCATGTTTTAAAGAAGAGTGTCTTGATTAAGTGGTGGAAATAGCGGATGATGAGCACAGAGCAGTAACAAAACATTTACAGTTACAGGTGAAGTGTACAAACTCTAGTACATGGTGATGTTTTAGATAACTGTAAATGAATTCACATGTTCACGGTTTTTTGAAAATATTTAATGAAAATATTAGTTTTGCTCAGCAAGAATTTTTTTTTTTGAGAAAAATTTATATACATATTATTATTATTATTATTATTATTATTATTATCTTAATACTTTTATATTCTTAATATTTTTCTATATTTATTCATTATATTATACTATATATAATTATATTTATATTACATTAAAAAAAATTATATTATATATAGTATTTTCAATTATATTTTTAATTTGTATATACATAATATGTTGTGTATCAATTTAACATTACATATGTTTATATCACACACATATACACATACTTGCAGCTGCTTATACAGTATGCTGCTTATACATGCAGAGTGAAACAGGGCAAAGTCCTCAATTCAAATTTAACTTTCTGTTGACTGACTGGCCAACCAAATGAATTGGATTTATCTACTAAAGAAAGTTCCGCTAAATGAAAGCCCTGACATGTGCCATGATATATTGTCAATCCGTCTGCAGAGTGGACAGGCTGTCCTCATTGACTCAGATGGCTGCTCTCAACTGAAAGACATTTGCTCTTAGGGAATAAACTGCCAGGTAGACATTGATCAAACAAGAATACTGTTTACGCTGCTCTTAGGTTTTGTGCTTCGAACCACCGCTGTTCATCATTTCAAGGCTTGAGACAGACCC